TCAAAACATGAACCCAGACATCGTTTTTCAGAAGTTGTTCCCAATCGCTAGCCGGAACGAAAAACTCATGATCATGGTTGTCTATTGGATTCACGTGAGAGGATGTTAGCCTGAAATGCAGATCTGGTTGGACAGTCTCGTGTTTGCCTTGAGTGGCCGGTTCCTGGTATATTGGCGACATTGAAGACATGTGGTTCAACATTTCGAGTAAAGCGTCTGCTTCCTTTCCAACGCTGTCGCCTTCCCTGTGGAGGGGATAGATCGGCCATCTTTGTCTTACTTCACCAACACCGGGAATTTTAGGTAAAATTGTTTGTATTCCAGATGCCATAACTCGGTGAATAGCTCCTTTGTCATCAAGGACACCAACGTCCTGTCCAGGAACATTTCCATAAAATTCAACAGGAGTTTGATAGAAGTGAAGGGTTGATATGCCTTTGTATGCCAGATTAGCGTTATGGGAATCTCCTTTACGACCATTTTCAGTTACCTCGCTTTCATTTTTCATGTCAAGATTATATGGATTCCAGGATGCAAGAGGATTGAGATAGATAATTTCCAGAGGAATGGCATATGAGAATTTTTCTGTCGTTGAGGTACAATTGGTCTTGAGAGTTCCAACCGTCTTGCACGACCTTAAAATGACCGATGCTACTCGGTTTTGATGGTTTTGTGCCATCCACAGGTTGCTATCGGAGAACCCCCTTTGGCTAACTTGCATTCCATGATGTAACTTGTACTCCCGGTGGTAGCGTGCGGTGTTTTCTGCCCTCTCTCGTCCTTCTCCAGCTATCAAAGCAGTATGATTAAATTCACTGTCATGTTGACCTCCTCGATAATTGTTTGCCCCTGGAACTCCATGCATCAGAGTGTCCAATAGACCTTTAGCATACGCTCGGTCTTCAAATTTTCCGTATCCTTCAACTTCATCAAACTCAGCTTGAGCTGCAGATGCAGCGACTGTAAATCTGGCTTCCTCGGTACGGCTGTAGGTTGACATATTGTATTTTCTTGTCACTCTGTAAGCAATGTCGTCGATTGGTTTGAAAACTTTAAGTGGGACACCTTGGTGAATTGGGCTACAAAGAATTCTGTAGGTCCATTGGGCGTATCTTGGTTTGCCATGGGTGTCTATGTCCATTATTTTTTTAGGCAGAAATGCTAAATCTTCATTGAGATCCTTCATACCTGTGTACGACATCAGCCTGACTTTGTCAGCGAGGTTATCGTAGTCAGTGGCGTCTAAGTGGTGGGTCTCGCTATGGAAAGGTTCATGAAGGTGTTTTGTATCCCACTCCCAGTTCCCCTCCAGGTAACATAAGACTGGTTTGAAGTAAGGTTTGTAGTTCCTGATGGTAGAGTTTTGAAGTCTGAAGGCCCGGAAATACTCTTTCATTTCCGCTATCTGCTCGGGAACTGTGTGTTTTGTTGTGACTGAAGGCGGGACTTGTGGGTATGCAATTTTGTCTGTTGCGTGATAGTTCCCTTTATGCTGGCTGGGCATTTCTAGGGTATAATCATTATGACGGGTTCGGAATTCAACACCATTCAATACAGCATTAACCTCTCCAAAGCCAATAACGTCTTTGTAGTTTGGATGCGAGTGAATGGCACTGGTGGTTTCCGAATTAAAAGAATCAGTCCCAGATGACAAACGCCTCACTTGCTTGATACCTTTATAAAATGAATTCATCTTGTTTAGTGATGTTAGAGATGACGTAGAATTCTTTAACACATTTCGAAGGGGGAGTACAAACTACATAAATGTATGTGATTACACATTACCCGAGTCTCCATCAGAGCGAATCCTCTCTTCGACATAGAACTGCTGGGTAACCAGTTGTTTGGTCAGATCATTCAGTATATCCTCCATTTTCTTGAGCCTGTAGTTGGCGCCCAAGCTCAGTCCCACCACACATACAAGGATGAAGAGCTTCATGATAGACTGACGCGAGAAGAAAGGTATGCATTTTGTTACATCAAATAAAAACTAATTTAAACAAATGTCTTAAAACATCATATAAAAAGAGAAAGCCAAATGAATATACATGATCTGTTTACGTCAAAATAGTTTGATAAGAAGCAGTGTAAATAAATTTATAATTACATACAATTTAAATAAATGGTCTCGATTTGGTAATGAAATATTTAAGATATACGATAATATGATAAATCATTAGAAAACATAGGTTGAATCATATGGATCGATGTTTCACAGATTTCAGTAAATAAACAGGTACATGCAAACATAGAATTATCCTTCATACGGATTAGGGTTTGAATTACATATTAAACTTGAAAAGAATTAGAATATCTTATAAAGTATCTGATCGAATTAAAAAAAATATTTGAGCAATATGGTTGAAAAGGAACCACCTGAATTGCTTAGGTAAAGCAAACCGAAAAAGGATTTAAAGAATCCCTTAAAAAAAAACCTTTGTATAATTTTCAAAACATCACTATATACTTTATAACCAGATCTTTTCAATATTTTTTTTAAATAAACTTTCATTACAGCAAATTAAGATAAAAACATTAAAAATAATTTCCTGGAGAAATGAATAATTAGAAAATAAACCAATATACCTATTTGTGTCAGCCTTCGATCGCCAAATAGCCGAATCGAACTGCTGAATATTACATTCTGTGTATCGTTTTTATAGGCAGGTGAATTTGACAAGACATTATGATAACATCCATTCTCTGAATCGAGATAATACAGAAAACAATGTGTTAAGGGGAGATAACTGGTTCCATCTGTCTGTCAGTCGGTTCACAAGGGAGATAATGCATCAGTCGATAGTGATTACCAGAGTATAAGTACTTTTGTGTTGATTATTCATCAAAAAGGCAGCATATGTTCTGAGAGGACAATGTGGATTAACAACTTTTAATGCATTAATTTTTTCAAAATATTTTATTCAAAGCATAAATTAATTAAGTTTTTTTTAACAATCATAAATATATGCTGAAATTAAAAATCTGTCTCCTTAAAGCTTGGTAAATGATATTCTGTTGGATTATAAAACCGGAACTGTTTATGGATTTTCGATGTCTGTTTTTCTGTCTATCAGTTGCAACGATTGCATGGGCGTCGGAAGCAAATTGAAAGGGGGGGGGGGTAATTGAAAGGGGGGCTAAATCAACAAAAAAGGTAAAACCCAATTTTCAATGCCTATATATTGTATATATTTGCAAAAACAGGGGAGGGGGGCTAAGTCCTCCCTAGCCCCCCTGGTTCCGACGGCTATGAATTGTAATGGTTAACCTTAATGTTAGGTATTTGTATTTATCTGTTTAGCAACTGTTAACTGTTTAGCAACTGTTAACTGTTTAGCAACTGCCTCTGTGAATTTCGAATGAATGATGAATTTCACGATAGAGGCACTGACCCGTAATCCTGTCATTAGCAAATCAGTGTTTTAGGGTGACCTATTTAGGTTCAACTTTTCGCAGACATCCTCTAATCTCAGCGCAAGTAATTCTGGATGAACATTTTTATTCAAGTTCTACACTAGACCTTCGAAGTCAGTCCAGACTCGCTGGACATTGACCTTTGACATAATTTTCATTTAACATTATTTGATAAGATTACTGAGAATATTAGCAATGTGTGGTCTTCATCGAATCTCAATTATAGATAAATATGGATGCAACTTTTATCATGCAATGATTTGACTACGTTACGCAGACTTTTCCAAAGTGAGAATTTCTCCCGGAAGACTGTCTACACTTTTATATTGAAGCTTCTACTTTTTGAAAAGAGAATCAGGGGCGGATACAGGATTTGTGGTTAGGGGGGGGCGTGGATAACTTTGTTGAGGCAAGAGGTCTGGGGGCCGGTTACTAAGGCCCCCAATTTCCAGGGCGAAGCCCTGGTGGGGGCCCAGGGGGCGAAGCCCCCGGAAGCTCCTGGGTTTTCGTGTATTTTAGAGTAATTAAAATCAGGCACAATAATGCATATTTTTCAATTATTTTTGTTAAAAGTATATAGCATATAGGTGGTGGCCCAGGGGGCGAAGCCCCCAGAAGCTTCTGGGTTTTCGTGTATTTTAGAGTAAAACCAGGCACATATTAACCAGTGCATATTTTTCGATTTATTTTTGTTAAAAGTAAATAGCATATAGGTGGGGGCCCAGGGGGCGAAGCCCCCGGAAGCTCCTGATTTTTCGTGTATTTTAGAGTAAAACCAGGCACAATAATAGTGCATATTTTTCAATTATTTTTGGTAAAAGTAAATAGCATATAGGTCCGGATGTTTAAATAATAAATGTATTGAATGTTTCTCAATTCTCATTGTATTGTAACACATGCCACTATATAATAAACAATTTACTTACTTATTACTTACTAATAGTGGTATTGGTTTGTGATGTACCAAAGTATGACGTGTTTAATACTAGTCATGTCATACTTTGAATAGTGGGGGCCCAGGGGGCGCAGCCCCCGGAAGCTCCACGATTTTGTGTATTTTAAGAAAGAAACCAGGCAGAATAACACTTATTTGGTTAGTTTTGTACCAAAATGTGGCTTTATAAATATTAGTCACATCATACTTTGAAAATTTTAGGGGGGGGGGCGTGTCTACACTTTTATATTGCCCCCCCCCTTAAATCCGCCAGTGAGAATCTAAAATGTGAATTTTCAGTAGTAAGTATCCCACTACGTATATGTTTTAATTTGATTCATACCATCGATAAAAACGTCAAAGATTTAACTTGTAACTTTTCAAGCTGACCACCCACACACCTCTATTTTCAAAAACGGATACTAAGTGACAGCAGTCCTAGAGGAGAAGTGTCACTAACAGTTAGTATTCCGAAGGAAGTCTCCCCTGCATTTTAGCTGAGATAATTGTCAGATCTTTATATTCCATTACTCCAAGTTTTCAATGCTTAGATCATTCCTTGATGCTGCCCCCCCCCCCCCCCCAAAAAAAAAATTGTTAGCTGACAATAGCTAAGGTGTTAACGTTACAACAATAAGAAGCTGTCAGTATATTTGTGGAATTCTTTTTTATTTGATTTATATTACACTATAAGAAAGAAACAGAGTGCTGAAACAAGCTGAAAAGGGTCCTTCCACACAAATTAATTTGCATTCAACATATCACAACAGACTACGTGTACTCAGTAGCAAATTCATGTAAACAACAATCAAAACTTTACATATTTAGTGCCAAAATATTATATACTAGTACATAAAGCAAACCTAGTGTGTTTTACCCGAAAAATCTTGTACAAAAGTATAAAACAAGAAATGTTTAAAGAAAATAAATGTCAAACAAAGCATTGCAATTTCTTTGCTATGATACATTCTCTCTCTCCCTCCTCCCCCTTTTCTCTCTCTCTCTCTGTAAAATAAATCTACGGAGTTTATCATCATTGCAAACAAAATAGTATTTGACAGTTCCATCAGACAATTCTCATTATGCTGACATTTAGATACTTGATAATGTAATTAGGTTAATTTACTCTATGATGAACTTAATATTAATTAATCCCTAGAATGCGACTGAAATCCCAGCGAATTGTTATATTACTCTGATCTTAAACATAAAGTTGTTTGATTAAATGATTTAACAAAACAGGGCATTATGGAATGTAAGGTGGTGGGCATTCAAAAATGAATGAACAAACATCAAAGTGTAAATATCATTTACTATAATGAACAGAAATATTCTTGACTAGTCTTAAAAGTTTTTGTTCCATTATCTTAAAGAATCAACCCTTATTTTCTTGACTGAAAAACTATATGCAGCTTTTATCATCTGCATACCTGAGTTTGTTTCTTCAAAGGTAAAGAATGTCTCAAATTTGGTCCCTTATCGGTAAACTGAGTTAACACTCAAATTACAAATTCTCTTTTACATACTCTCTCCATTCATCCATAGAGGCATTCATTTCTAAAAATAATGCTTTGGCATACACTCTTAAAATGTAAAACAATGTCACAAAGTCTGTGGTGCTAAAGAAGGTGTCTGCGAGGGCAAATGTGAGTGTTGATGGTATAAATCCTCTGCCATACTCAACCATCCAGGTGTCAGCAGTGAAGAAGACTGCTGTTACATTTCCCATTGGGTGGGGCACAACGTCACCTAGATTTCAGGTAAAACTGTGTAAACAACAGGGTATGTGTACATGTACTATGTTAGTTCTAATGTCTTTTGGTGGATTTGGTATTAAAACTTATCATCTTTTCTTTTTTTTAAACATGCAATTTCATGTAATAACATGTAAATACATTTTCAAAACATAATTCACAAGTAATCATGTATATTCTGAAACCTAGCCATATTAGTTAAACTTTATTAAGCATTTACAATAATTTGCTGAAATAAATATATTAAAGCATAACATGCACTCTTTTCAAACTAACCAGCATTGTAGTCGTGAGCCTCTAACTCTCCCTCCCTCCATTGCTTCATTGACCCCGAAATCAGGGTATCGGAAATGTTTGCCCAGTATCGACCTAAAAAAGTGTTACATAATATGCCTTAAACAAGGAACAAACATAAAAATGTGCTTCAAAAACTGTGAAGAAGTCTTTAATTCTTTGTGTGTAGATAACTCTTTTTTTTTTTTTTTTTTTTTTTAAAAACTGTACTATTTCACATAACCATTCAGATTACTATTCGATGTCATCTATATTTATACAAAGTGATCCACAAGAGAACATTTTTAAAATAAAAAAATTATGTAACAAATGAATGGAATTTTCTTTTGTATTAAAAGTTAAGAATAAATCAATTTTAATCAAAAGAAATATAAATTAAAAAAAAAATCAGTAAAAGCATTCAAAATATAAAGAAAGATAACTCTAACTTTTGTTACCATTCCTCAACCTTGTGCAAAAAACTTTTAATTTGAGGAGAAAAGGTAGAAAGAAATTGATGTGAAAACATTGTTCATTATGGTTTTTCATAATTATGTATGGTTATATTTGAATTAATAAAATGTACATGTAGAAACATTTCCTTTTAACTTTTAACATACAGAAGTATGCATTGTAAAATAAAATGATGATCATGATATTCCTGTAGGACTATGTTATTAAAGACAGATAGGTACAGGTACAGGTGTTGGTACAAAGAGGTCCTGCGTTCTAGTCCCAGACCCCTGGTTTTCTTTTTTACTACCTTTGACATTTGGTGCCTAACATAAAAAACTCTATTCCCTTGAAATATGCTTTAGAGCATTTTCTTCACTCTTAGGGAAAAAATTCTACTCAGAGGGGAATACGTCACCTGGATTATAGGTGTGTGTAAGTCAATATATAGGGTCTCAAAAGCCAAATGATTAGAGCATGTTATGCCAGAGGCCTTGAGTTTGGGTTCTAATTGAGATTCAAACTTTCACCGTCTGTTGAATAACACATTTTTGTAAATTGTCTCTACACTGACTGTACCTTTTTTCAGTGCATTGACATTGTTCATTGTCGTGCATGCTCTCTACTAGTCCACTTAGTCTGACATTTTCCAGGCCTTTTTCATAATTTCAATATTTTACATGCCACAAAAATGTCAGAACTGGTGCCATTCTGAAAACTGGAAATATGCAGTCTCCACCTAGAGGGGTATTCTCCGGTTGATTGTCTATACGTTTATACTTGTGAACTGAATTACATGAAAATGCTGAATTCACAACTTATCAACAGTAGAATGCCTTTAGTACTCAACAACATTGTTTTTATGATTTGTTTATAAAATATACAGTCCAGTGAAAACATTTTACAGTCCAGTGCAAACATTTTATTAGACCCCCAAGTTTTGTTTTCATTTAGTGTATTTTAAAATCTCGAAAAACTTGCATCAAAATATGGAGTGATATTTTCTTTTCATTGATATCCGTGAGTACTAAAAGCATTGTGCTAATTTTAAGATTTGAATTTAATTCAGTTGCAAGTATTGATAATCAGCTCAGGTTGAGGAAAGTAAAATTTTAAGTTTTTATAATGGCACCCGTTCTGACATTTTCCTGACAAGTAAAAAGTCTGGATATTTCAGACAGCTCTCCACCTGAATTAGTCATTTCTAACACCTACCTGAGTGACCTGACGTCTCCACAGCTGTACCAAAGAACAAGATATACTCAGTCAAAGAAGCATGCAGCAGGCACATGCTGCCCATCCATCCACCAGCATTCATAAATATCCACTGCATGTCCTCCTCTGGTAGGATGTGTCCAGGATACATTCTACGCAACACTGTACCAATCTTCTCAAAAGCTACCTTTGGTTTCAAACCTGAAATTTGACAACGAAATGTTATACACAGGATTCCATCCTTAGAGTAAAAATTCCTTCAAAATGATCAATTTTTAAGGATCACAGCGGGTGTGAACTCAACTGTGAAGAGGGATGCTTACTCCTCCTAGGCCCAGATCCCACATCTGGAATTTCCAGAGTCAGTGTTTTATGCCCTCTTCACTTATTTGAATTGTTTATAGATTTTTGAGATCGATCACTTCTCTTAATCTTTGCTTTTTTCCTCTGCTGTCAGCAATGTTAACTACAAATTCAATTTGCAGTACAAAGCTGTTCAAAGTAGTTACTATGTAGGAAGTACAGTATTTAAAAAAAAAATATCTGTAACTTAGTGTTTATATGCTAGTTTCTTGATTATTTTTAAATTTAAGATTGGGTACCCTAATTATTAATTCATTCCTTTCTTTCAAAATGGAAATTTTGATCATCAACTTAAAAATAAAAAGTTACTTTATGTACACAGGTACATGCACTCGTCACATGATAAGACGATGTCATTGACTTGATTGAAACTCTTTACCTGCATATTTTTTAACCAAAACAGCTACTTCGTCACCGCTTGTTAAATGTTCCTTTTTGTTTAACCAGTACTGGATGCAGAAAATTAAGAAACATAACAACAGAACCCATTTTACAGTCGAGTGTAGACAACTAACGCTGCAACACCACATTTTTTGGGTTTTGTTTACGTTGTAGGTTCTTTGTACCTTCTTTTTAGAAGAGCTTTCAATACTTGATTAACCCGTGTACTTAGTATTCGATTTAATTAACTGCATTAAACACTTCATGGTAGTCCTTTTTATTGTAAAAGAGTATACTGGGTTTTTTTTCTAATTCAGACCTAGACTGCACGTGTTTATGATATTTATCGATTTCAAAATAAAATAAATATGGAATAAGAATACAAGAAATTTTAGTAAAATAAAGTAAACGAATTTATGATTAGTCTATATATAAATGCTGGTTTGCATATCGAAAATTATCACGGGAATACATACGTCCTGAATAGTTGTCATATTAATTATCCATTATTTGATATTTCGAATATTTCAAAAAATAAATGGGCCGGCACATTAAAGGTCATAGAGGAATGTTTAGTTTTAAACGCATGCAATACCAGCTTACCGGCCATTTTTTCATTTGTCGATGATAACTTGAAAAAAAAAAACCCATAGAATCGGATTGAAAACCATTACAAATGTTTTCTTCTTATGTAGAAGATTTAGAATAATAAATTCTGCTTAAAGGAATGCAAAAGAAAAAAAAGAAGAAAAAAGAAATTTAAAAAAATCTACTGATAAAAGAGTCCGATTCAAAGAAAAATACTTCGAACGGCAAATAATTATCATTTGATGTAGCATCACTAAAATGATCTTTAATCAGTTCAATTGACCAATATAACGAATACTAGTGCAGTGTATCAAACTAAACCGTTCTCGCAAACATTTAACAATACATTCTTCAGATACTCGTATAATGGTGTTTAAAATGAATGGTTTGAAATAGTTAAAGAATTTTTTTAAATTATTAATTGCAGTAGCTCAAGGATCCTAAAAACAGGCACGTAGCATCAGGGAGGGAGTCCGGGCCTTCCCTTTCCCAGACATACCTTTGTCCAATAGTACATAAATGTTCACTGGGAGTCCAACCAACCCCCCCCCCACCCACACACACACACACACACACACTATTTGTTACAGTGTAGTTAATTTTAAAAGAGTATTGTAGCATGTCTTAGTTAAAAAAAAGTGGTACTGAAAACGCCTCTATCCTCCCAAAACACACATGTACAGTACAATAAAAGCACACTCATTGAGCTGAATTTTCACTTTCATTGCTACTTGGACGTATTTCTAAATTAAGGATAAACAAGTATGATGATACAAATGAAAAATGGATGCCTGGATTGGTAAATATTTTTTGACCTAATCTGGTTGTAAATTATTAGAATAATACATCTATATCCAAAATATAAAGAAATTGTAAACTTCGATGTTTAATTTAAAATCCCCCTTTTTGTATCACTCTTATTTAACTGAACAAATTTTCATCACTTAAAATCCATTTTTAGGTCACCTGAGTAAACTCAGGTGACCTATTGCTATCTGTTTTTGTCCGTCGTCGTCTGTCGTGCGGTGTGCGTCGTGCGTTAACATTTGAACATTTTCAGCTTCTTCTCTAAAACCACTGAACCAATTTCAACTAAATTTGGCATATAGCATCTATGGGTTAAGGGGAACAAAAATTGTAAATTTCATGGCCCCTGCCCCCCTGGGGCCTGGGGGGTGGGGCAAAAACCACTAAAATTAGTGCCATCTTTAAAAATCTTCTTCTTTACTCCTGGACTTCAAGCAGTCAAACTGTTAGTATGATTGTAATCAGCATTGAGTCCTCTACCAAAATTATGTAATTCATGGCCCCAGGGTCAGGAGTTCTAGTACTAGGGCGGGGTTAAATAGGTTATATAGTGAAAATGCATTATTTCTTTGAAATACTTCTTTTCTGCTCCTTGGCATTAAATAAACTAACCAAGTGCATAGTTGAGTTGGAAATGACTGCCTCTTCCAAAATTGTGAATTTCATGGCCCCAGGGCAAAGGGTTGTAGTGCTAGGGCGGGGCTATATAGATTATATAGTGAAAATGCAAAAAATCTTTGAAAATCTTCTTTTCTGTTTGTGGGCATTAAATAAACTAACAAAGTGCATAGCTATGTTGAATAAGACTGCCTTTTCTAAAATTGTGAATCTAATGGCCCTATGGTCAGGGGTTCTAGTGGCAGGGCGGGGCTATATAGATTATATAGTGAAAATGCAAAAATTCTTTGAAATTCTTCTTCTCTGTTCGTGGAGATTAAATAAACTAACTAAGTGCACTGCCTCTTCCAAAATTGTGAATTTCATGGCCCCAGGGTCAGGGGCTTTAGTGCTAGGGTGGGGCTATATAGATTATATAGTAAAAATGATTTATTTCTTTGAAAATCTTCTTCTTTGCTCCTGAGTATTAAATAAACTAACCAAGTACCGGTACATAGCTATGTTGAATAAGACTGCCTCTTCTAAAATTTTGATTTTTAATGCCTCAGGGTGAGGGGTTCTGATGTTAGGGTGGGAATATATTGATTATATAGTGAAAATGCATAAATTCTCTAGAAATCTTTTTTTCTACACCTGGGTATTTAACCAATGAACTATGTACATAGTTATGAGAAGGAAGGATGCCTCTTTGAGATTTGTGAATTTCAGAGCCCCTGGGTCAGGGCTTCTTGTGTTAGGGTGGGGCTCAAATGTTTATTTAGTGAAAATACATGAATTCTTTGAAAATGTTTTCATTTTTTCTTGGGTATTATGCCAATGATCTTAGTATATATTTATGACAAAGAAAGCTGCTTCTTTCATAAATGGTTATTTTACTGGCCCCTGGGACAGAGGTGCTTGGTGGAGGGGGGGGGGTACATAATCTGAAACTTTGGTATTAATCAACAACATTATGAAATAAAACTTAAATGGTGCCTCTTTCAAAATTGTGTCAGAATTCCATGGCCTCTGGTTTAAAACATGAATCACATTTAATTTGTTGGAAAGTTGTTGCATGATACTCAGGTGACCTATAAGGCCCATGGGCCTCTTGTTTGTGAAATTTGAAAGCAAATTGAAAAAAAGATGCTGTTAAACTTATTCAGTTTACTTATATAAACATCACTTTTTTTTCCCCCAAGATTTTTTATATTAATGCTTTAAATTATCTACCTAAATTACAAGTGCAAGTTTTTTTCCCCTGATTTATCCGGTTTCAGTAATAATAATTAACATTTTAAGCATACATTTGGCTCTTAATTATAATCGGCATGCTTATTATCTGTGGATGAATAATTTTGATAACGAACATCAGTCCCTAACATTTCAATTTCATCGAGCGCATTTCTATTACTTATGACTGTATACTGTACTAGTATTTTCGCCTATCTATTGAAGTTCCCTTTTTCTTCTTTTATTCATATTTTTATTATGGTAAGAGACGTGTAGTCATTCAAATTTATCTTTGAAAAAAAATCATACATATATAGAGATTTTTTTCTCTTGTTACATCCCGGAAATCAATAAAATGGGATTTTAACGTATTTCATTGGCCTTGAAATATTTACCTTGTGTTTATTCGTGCATCTTGTTCAATCTGAGTACACGCACCATTTCTCATCTTAGATTTCAATATATTTTTAGCTCACCTGAGCCGAAGGCTCAAGTGAGCTTTTCTGATCACATTTTGTCCGTCGTCCGTCCGTCCGTCTGTCCGTCTAGCTGTCCGTCTGTAAACTTTTCACATTTTCGACTTCTTCTCAAGAACCACTGGGCCAATTTTGACCAAACTGGGTACAAAGCATCCTTGGGTAAAGGGGAATTTAAATTGTTAAAATGAAGGGACATATCCCCTCGCAAGGGGAGATAATCAAGAAAAGACAAAAATAGGGTGGGGTCATTAAAAAATCTTCTTCTCAAGAACCACTGGGCCAGTAAAGCTGAAACTTATGTGGAAGCATCCTGGGGTAGTGTAGATTCTAAATTGTTCAAATCATGACCCCCAGGGGAAGGGCGGGGCCAATGGGGAATCAAAGTTTTATATAGAAATATATAGGAAAAATCTTTGAAAATCTTCTTCTCAAGAACCACTGGGCCAGAAAAGCTGAAACTTATATGGAAGCATCCTGGTATAGTGTAGATTCTAAATTGTTCAAATAATGACCCCCGGGGGATGGGTGGGGCCACAATGGGGAATCAAAGTTTTATATAGAAATATATAGGAAAAATCTTTGAAAATTTTCTTATCAAGAACCACTGGGCCAGAAAAAGTGAAGCTTATGTGGAAGCATTCTGGGGTAGTGTAAATTCTAAATTGTAGGAATCATGACCCCCGGGGGAAGGGCGGGGCCATTATAGGGAATCAAAGTTTTACATAGAAATATATAGGAAAAATCTTTGAAAATCTTCTTCTCAGGAACCACTGGGCCAAAAAAGCTGAAACATATGTGCCCATGGAAGGATCATGGGGTAGTGTAGATTTCAAAATGTCTAAATTATGATCAGTGGGGTAGGGTGGGGATGCATTATGTATAACAAGGGTGAAATCTGGTAAAGAACAGAATGGTCAAAGCTTCTCAGGTGAGCGATGTGGCCCATGGGCCTCTTGTTTATGAAGGCGGATGAATAAATACAGAATGAAAGTAATATGTTTGATTTTTAAGTGGTGAATCGAAACAGGATTAGATTAGTATTGAAGAAATCAGATATTACTACTCTATTTTTAGACTTTTTAAAAGAAACTTTGAATATTTGTACATGTACGTATGTATAGAATCAGCCAAAATTTTACATCACACTTAAATTCGTGCATACATTATTTTCAAAGAGTTAACGCTAACCCTAACCCCAACCCTAACCCTTGCAGAAGAATGGATAAAAAGTTTTAGGCAAATATCTAAAAAAAAATCTCACGATGTTTTACAGAAGTGAAAATAGTGACATGTTTTGTAAGAGGCTAATCATAATGTATCCGGTGACAATGAATCAATTTGACACGTCTAATTATTGAACTCTATACATTTCATAACATTTTGAGAATTGCTTGAAAAAGTTTAGCAAAACATTTTTTACGATATAGATTTTATGTGTAACGGAATTAAAATTCACAAAAAATTTTTAATTGTTCTCATTTGTAAAGTAA